AGAAACTATTCGATAAGACCGCTATAATGCAAACATCTACTTCTAACGACTATATGTAGCTCGTCATAGAGAAACTATTCAATAAGACCGCTATAATGCAAACATCTACTTCTAACGACTATACGTAGCTCGTTGTAGAGAAACTATTCGATAAGACCGCTATAATGCAAACATCTACTTCTAACGACTATACATAGCTCGTTGTAGAGAAACTATTCGATAAGACCGCTATAATGCAAACATCTACTTCTAACGACTATACGTAGCTCGTTGTAGAGAAACTATTTGATGAGACCGCTACAATGCAAACATCTACTTCTAACGACTATACGTAGCTCGTTGTAGAGAAACTATTTGATGAGACCGCTACAATGTAAACATCTACTTCTAACGACTATACGTAGCTCGTTGTAGAGAAACTATTTGATGAGACCGCTACAATGTAAACATGTACTTCTAACGACTATACATAGCTCGTTGTAGAGAAACTATTCGATAAGACCGCTATAATGCAAACATCTACTTCTAACGACTATATGTAGCTCGTCATAGAGAAACTATTCAATAAGACCGCTATAATGCAAACATCTACTTCTAACGACTATACGTAGCTCGTTGTAGATAAACTATTCGATAAGACTGCTACAATGTACACATGATTATGTTTGCAGAGGTTGTAGTGGGAAAGAACATGGAGGAGAAAACATCATTAAAACTTTCCAACAGGGAGAAACTAATTGCATGCGGTAGCAGTGGTGGGTGGGCACTCAAAGAAGAAAAGTTGCCTTTTCACATACACCTCTTTTCCTGTCCTGTTCATTAACAATGCCTCTGTTTGGAAACCTCCATGGTTCTTTTTACCATGGGCTAACTACAAAGCTTCTCACTATGTAAATTTCCAATATGAGCATGATCTTTAAGCTATTTTTAGTATATCACTTTGGCCCATTATGTATTCCGTCACGGAGAGGTTTCCATACCCTTATAAGAAATGCTTTGTCCCTCTTTCCAGCCGATGTGAGATCTCACAATTTACCCCCTTGGGGACCCAATGTCCTCGCTAGTACACCGCCCGGTGTGTCTGGCTCTAGTACCATCTGTAATAGCCTAAACCCACCGCTAGTAGATATTGTCTACTTTGGCCCGTTACGTATCACCGTCAGCCTCACGGTTTTAAAACGCGTCTACTAGGGAGAGGTTTCCATACCCTTATAAGGAATGCTTCGTTCTCCTCTCCAACCGAGGTGGAATCTGACAATCTACCCTCCTTGGGGGCCCAACATCCTCGTTGGCACACCGCCCGGTGTTTGGCTCTGATACCATCTGGAACAGCTCAAGCCCACCACTAGTAAATATTATCCTCTTTGGGCTTTCCCTTTCGGACTTCCTTTCAAGGTTTTTAAAACATATCTGTTAGGGAGAGATTTCCACACCCTTATAAGGAGTGTTTTGTTCTCCCCGACCAACGTGGGATCTCACAATCCACCCCTCTTGGGAGCCCAGTGTCCTCGCTAGCACACCTCCCGGTGTCTAGCTCTGATACTATCTGTAACAGCTTAAGCCCACTACTAGCAAATATTTTCCACTTTGCCCCATTACATATTACCGTTAGCCTCACGGTTTTAGAACGCTTCTACTAGGGAGAGGTTTCCACACCCTATAAGAAATGTTTCGTTTCTATCTCCAACCAATGTGTGATCTCACAATCCACTCCCTTAGGGCCCAACACAATGGACTCAAACGAAAAATATGAAGGCAATCACAATGAGAAACATACTTAACCTAATAGCATGCACACAACGGAGGAATCAACCCTCTTCAACATCTCTCATAACGTGTTCCATGCTGTTCGACATAAGTTTGGGCCAACATAGCCACACTCACTCCCACCCCTAGTGAAGATAACCCTGAGAACAGAGGTGGGTCTGATGTGAACAGCATATTTTGAGAGTGCTCTTTTGCTTTAAGTGTATCATTGTGAAGAAGCCACGGTGAACCAGACAAGGACAACCGGGTGGAGCTTTTGCTCCCAAGTCTGTTTCAACTTTGCAATGGTGGGTCATCTTCTTCTCTCTGATTCTCTAACCCTATCTTACCTTCAAACTTTATCATAATCTTCCACACATATGCGACAACAAGAGCTTTTCTTTAATCTTACTCATCTCCTTCTTCTTATCAAACTTTCCATAGGTTTGGTACCCTTTGAGCTCATAGCCTAAATCATAGATGGTACTAAAGAAGCTATGAACAGTGTATACTTTTTGGTTTGTTTTGAGAAATATGGTCATTTGGTTCGGCGCACCAGCTGAAATGGATATAGGATTGAGTATTATCGTGGGTTTATAAGTGAGGAATACTATCTCCATTGGTACGAGGCCTTTTGGGAGAAGCCCAAAGCAAAGCCACGAGAGCTTATGTTCTAAGTGGACAATATCATACTATTGTGGAGAATCGTAATTTCTAACACAGTATCAAAGTCATGGCCTAAACTTAGCCATGTCAATAGAATCCTCAAATATCGAACAAAGGGTGTACTTTGTTTGAGGGCTCCAGACAAAGGAGTTGAGCCTCGATTAAGGGAGGCTTATAGTGTACTTTGTTCGAGAGGAGGATCTCCATTGGTACGAGGCCTTTTGGGGGAAGCCCAAAGCAAAGCCATGAGAGCTTATGCTCAAAATGAACAATATCATACTATTGTGGAGAGTCGAGTCGTGATTTCTAACACCCTTTTCCCCCTCTGTGGCAACAAGAAAGAGCAAATGAAAAGCAATTGGCATAATGGGCTTTTTTCGCAGTAATAGTGGGTGGGTCTCATGAGATCTATGCTTGCCGTTGGAATAGCGGGGTGGCACCATTCCCGGACTTGGTGGTACACGGGTAGACCGAGCATGAATTCATACCAAACTCTTGTTTGGTTGAGCTGCTCTCACGCATGTAGACCAGAAGATCTCACATAGATCTTTCCATTGTCAAAGGGCTTACTGTAGAAGATTAGGTTACTACCTTGCATGCCTCTACGAAAGGGGTTGACTATGTACTACCTGGAGGTCATAAAGATCGGAACCCGGAGCAATAAGAACAAAAGCCCTACCCCTGCTACACCTACTGGCGCTTCAAAAGGCTTATTGAATGTTGTTTTCATAGACAAACTAGGGCAGGTTTTCAAGTAAGAAATTACACGCAGATATCATTAAGGCATGTCCTGTACATACTCATCTAGCATCAATCTTCATTGCTATTGTACATAGAAGTCTACCATATGAAGTTCCTACAGAAAACTGCATCCATTTCAACATTTGATTAATACCCATGTTTCCGAAACCCTAGAATTGAACATTAAAGTGCGATGAACTCTGAAAATTCATGAATAAACCTTTAGAAATATCTTGGCTAAGAACATATAAATGGAGTACACAGAATTCATTGTCTGACGAAGCTAGAAATTCCATATGTAGTTTCAATGATGCTTACCCTTTGAGCTACTTCAGCCGAGGATTGGGTAATTAGCGAAGAAATCGAATCTACAATCCCATTTCCACATCTAATATGGTTTTAGTTTGCTAAAACATTGAGAAAATGTGGAGCACAGAATGAAACGAAAAACTGCTCATTGCTGAAGCTTGCTCTGTTTAGTCTATGAAACCCGATAAAGGGTTTTCTCCTCTAATTTTTTTTTTTTTTTTTTTTCT